GAAAAACAAGAAGACCCTAATGTAGTGGGCATATAAACAATGCCTCTGTATAGTGATTGAATGAAAAAAAAAATGACCGATTTACCTGTAATCAAAGATCATTAACATTATAGTAGTATAGCATTTTTAACCCTTGTTTTGACAAAGGTGTAAAAACAAAATATGACAAAACTATATTTGTGACAATACTGATACTTTAAAAGTTTTAATAGGAGTTTTTTGTTAATATCTTATTGATTTGGCATGCTGTCACTACTTAATAAGCTATAACTTTTATTGAAAGTCATGATTTTATGTTATGTACCTGAAGTGTTTGAGCTACCCATCCAGTAGTGCATTATGAACTTTGACTGCTCAAAGGGAAGTGCCTTTGAACACGGTTTTGAAAGTCCAGAGAGGGGTTGAGTGGAAAGCAGGTGTGATTAAGAGGAAGGCATTTAGCAGAGGATGAGTGCTCCTGGATTCAAAGTGCTGCAGTGAGAAACTGTAGAGCAGGCAGAGGAACCTTGGAGAGTTGCGTTAGGATGCTGAGGAGTGCTGGTGAAATGGGAAGCTAGGGGCTGGCATTGAGTTTCAGTTGGGTAAGCTGCCACCTGCAAGGCTGGCCATAGTTCAAGTACTGGCTTCCTTGCTTCCCTTCCCTTACCATGCTAACATCCCTGGAAGGCTGTAGAAGATGCCCCAGGTACTTTGATCTCTGCCACGAATGTTGGAAATATGAAAGGAGTTCTAGGATCCTTGCCCAGCCCCATGTGTTAGAGCCCATTGTGGACTCAAACAAGGATGTGAGATCTATCTCCGTCTCTGTGTAATGCTGCCTTTCAAATAAATAAGAAAAAGATGTGAATCCAAGGAGGAGTCTGTTGTTTGAGGTGTCTCATTCCAGAGACTATGTGCAAATCTTGGACAATAAATATTTGCTGGGCTGAATAAAATAAGCATTGTTTTCAGCTCAGTGCTGTTAACAGCCAGGGGATTAAGGACTTGAAACGACAATGTATTCTTCTGGTGTGCCAGATGGACCTCGTTAGCTTGGGCAAATTGAGGATACGCATATTTTGGAACATCTGCAGTATACTGTTTTCTGTTGCCACTTTTCTAAAGTTTAATTATGAAAATATTCAAGCTTATAGAGAAATTGACAGAATTACACAGTGAATGCCCACAGACCCATCACTGAGAATCTTCAGCTAGCCTGTACCTTGGCTTGCTTCATTGTATAACCTCCTGTATTCTTCAATATTTTATTAACATGTAAAAATTACTTATTTGAAAGGGAAAATAACACATGCACACAGAGAAACACACCTTTTCCATCCATTGTTCACTCCTTAGATGCCCACAGTCGCTGGGTTAGAGCCAGGGTGAAGCCAGGAGCCTGGAACTGTATCTGGGTCTCTCACATGAGTGACAGGAGCTAAGTTCCCTCTGCCTCCCAGTGTGCACCTTATTAGGAAGCTGAATTCAAAGTAGAGGTGGGACTTGACTGCAGGAACTCTGATATTGGCCACAGTGGCCTTTAACACTTAACCTTGATGTCACAGTGCCCTGATTAATTTTTTGGGAATGGTTTTCAAAGTAAGATACAGATACCAGTTTACTTAATTTTTTTTAATAGATTTGCTTATTTTTTATTAGACAGATTTACATAGAGAAGGCGAGAGAGAGAAAGAAAGGTCTTTAATCTGCTGGTTCATTTCCCAAGTGACTGCCATGGATAGAGCCGAGCCAGTCTGAAACCAGGAGCAGGAGCTGCTTCTGCATCTCCCACATGGGTGCAGGGTCCCAAGGCTTTGGGCTGTCCTTCACTGCTTTCGCAGGCCACAGGCAGGGAGCCAGATGGGAAGTGGAGCAGCTAGTACATAAACTGGTGTCCATATGCAATCCTGGGTGTGCAAGGCAAGGATTTAGCCACATAGTCATCACAATGGGTCTTGTTTACCTCACTCTAAAACCCTTAACCCTACAATGCTCCAACTAGAGCATAATACAGATTCCAGTATAAAAATTACAGTGAAAAGCACAAACCATTTTTTACTTTAGTTAAATTCATGCACTTCTGTAAACTAAAACCTTAGCAAGATAGTGTGTTTTGAAAGTTCCCCATTTTGGGGCCTGGCATTGTAGCCCAGTGGCTAAAGTCCTCACCATGCACGCACTGGGATCCCATATGGGTACCGGTTCAAATTCCTGCATCCGTGCTTTTCATCCAGCTTCCTGCTTGTGGCTCGGGAAAGCAGTCCAGCACCGCCCAAAGCCTTGGGACCCTGCATTTATGTGGGAGACCTGAATGAGGCTCCTGGCTTCAGCGCAGCTCAGTTCCAACCATTATGACCACTTGGGAAGTAGATCAATGGATGGAAGATCTTCCTCTCAGTCTCTCCTCCTCTCTGTATATCTAACTTTACAATTTAAAAAAATCTTTAAAAAAAAGAGAAGTTCCCCATTCCCAGCCAGTTCCTATCCTGATCTCTGAAGAGAGATTCTTCTTCTTCTTCATCTTCTTTTTTCCTACCATGGGTTACTTTTCCAATTGTAGAACTTTATATGTGAAAGTATGTGTTATTTAGGATAATGCCTTCTTTATTCCACATAATGGTTTTAAAGTTTATCTATGTTGCTCAATTAATCGATCATGGTTTCTATTTCTGAGTAGTGTTGAGTTATAGAAGCATACTATCTTTTTAAAAATTTTTATTTTTCATGATACAGTTCCATAGGCTCAGGGATTTCTCCCCCCACCCCATTCTCTCCCCATTTTCCCTGTGTTATTGCAATAGTGTAGTCCTTCAGCAGTGGTCATACGTCCATTCTTGTGCTATTTAAGTTTATCATGGCATTGTAGGTACGGACAATGGTAGAAAGTTGGGCATTCTGTTGTCAGTCTTTTGAGAGTCCATCTTTTATTGAACAGTATACACACATCTGCAAAGTATCTTCACTTCTCAGTAAAGCCTACTATCTTAATGATGTTTTTTTTTTCTTGAATAAAGGACATTGAAATTATTTCTAGTTTGTAACTATTATAAATAATACTCTGAATACCATTTTGCCCACTTTAGTAGATACAGGTTTTCTTTGGCAAATTTCTAGGAGAGAGTGAAATTGGGATTTTATAGTAGGCTGTATGTGTTAAACTAAGGAAATTTTAGTTGAGAGGCAGTGAGACGCAGAGGGTTTGCACCCACCAGTTTTTATCCCAAAAGGGCACAGGAGCCATATGTCAGGGCTGGGCTGGGCCAAGCTGACCTGGGAGCTGGAACTCAATTCAGGTTTCTCATGTGAGTGACAGGAACAGAACCCATGGAGCAACCACTGTTGTAGATTCTATATTAGTAGGAAGTAAAGTCAGGAAACAACTACACATTGAACCCAGGCCCTCTGATTGGGACACAGGCCAACTGACTGCCCTACATGTCTTACATTTTGATTATAGGAAAAATATTTGCACTTATCTATGTATTTTCCTTTCGTTGCTATTGCACTTTGATTTTGTATGAGTTAAGTAGAGCTTGCTGGTTTGTTTTGTTAACAATTATGAAAGTAAATTATATGCATTCTCTTTCTCAAAACTGTTTGCCAGAAAGTGGGATTTTCATAAATTGGTTGTAAATTTCTGCTTGGGATAAGATGTACAATCAGGTTTTGTGTTGTTTTCTGATCGCATTAGCAGCAGTGTGTGCATGCACACATACATACATAGACACATACATCCCCCTTAAGTCAATGATCTTCATTTGGTGTCAGCTACCACGGTTTAAGCCCAGCATTGTGGACTCGGGGCTCAGGTGGCTGTTGCTTCTATTTTTTAGTGTATAGTTAACATTGGCAGTCACCCTTATAATGACTTGACACCAGCTACCCCCAAGTACATTGAATAAGCCGTGCCTAGCACAAGGGACGTTGATTTAATTGGCAACAGTATTTGCCCTCACATGATAGGCGCTGAAGTAAAACGGAACCTATTTCACATGTCTTACCTCTTTTTTCAGTTAACACCAAGAGAAATATATTTTAAAAATATGAGAATCACATACTCTGTGCCTTTGAATACATTTGTTCAGATCAACTACCTAAGTAACTTTGTTTAAAGGCTAATACTTTTTAAGGCTATTAAGGGAGTGCTTGCAGTTTGCAGTTGCAGTATTGTCAACAAAAGATGTGATTAAATAAATTGAATGTTGAAGACTTTAGGCTTATGGTTAACACTAGGTAATTAAAAGTAAGCACTGCTGTGGGAGTGCATTATATATCAGCTGTCCTCTTTACCTCATTAACTGGGATTTTGCATGTTTATGGGGCTAACTTCAATTAAAAATGCCTTTTTAGTTATGCCTAACAGGGTCTTTTAGTTACTATTTTGATATAAAGTATTACACTGTAATTGAAATTGGTATATCATAAATACCTATGTTTGAATTATACACAAACTGAGCAGCTTTGATTATGTGATATATTTGCATCTAGCATTTTTTCACTTATGCATTTTTCTACATAGATACAGTCTCTGAAATTTAAAACAGAAAAACTTGGGTTTATATATGTTGGGAAATTGTTTATGTTTGTTTAGGTTTCTTATAGTTTACTATTTGAAATTAGCAGTGTTTTAAAATCCTTTTTGAACTATATTAAGTTTTTTCTTCAATTCCAAGGTTAACAAAAAAGTTAATTAGTTTTCCACTTGAGTGCCAAAATTTGTTTTTACATACTATATTTTACTTGTTAGATAATTAAACATGATTTTGCATTTAAAAAATACTAGGTGGTAAATGCAAGTCTGTATGTCAAGGCGGATTATATTTCCTTAGGGTATTGTCTTTGGTCCAAAAAAATTAAAAAGAAAATAATTAGCAGTAGTATTGAAGAGATTTCATGTTGGAAGGATATTCTTAATGGTATATCAAAGTATAGTTAACAAGAAAATAAGAAGTTAACTTCTTAGTTTCTTTATAGACAAGCAATTTTCTGTGTATTGATATTATTTCCTGTCTTTGTTTCAGAAGCGTCATCGTTGCAACCAAAAAATCTGCAGTCTTACCTTCTCCCCTCAGTACGAACGTGCCTGCCCATGCTCTGAGTGTGGTTTCTGCGGTGGATTCAGCCCAGGCCTCCGATGCGGGAGGAGACTCCCCAGGTGCGTTAGCTGTCCGGGGTATCAGCAGTGAAGTTTTGTGACTTTATTTTAGTATACCTTAGGATTTTTGATAAAGTTGTTGGTCAGATAAATACCACTGTGCTTTTATATTATACTGTTGTTTAGCAATTTTTGGAATAAGTTTGAGCCACATTATAAAGCTAGATCAAGGTTTCTAAAATTTCCTCCACTCAAACCTGATAGTGTGTGATGGATTAGATGCTGCTAGCTTGGTGAACAAAAAACATGAATGAATGATTTTTAAAAAATGTTTTTGTGCCTTTTATCTTTCCTTGCACATAAGAAGATCCTTATATGAGGATAGTGGTTTTGATGAGAAAAGCAGTTGACTGATAGGGTAGCCAAGTGAGTTAAGCCTATCCCTGTGAATCCAGCTTCCTAAATGAGCTTGGGTTTGAGTCCTGGCTGCTCTGCTTTTACTCCAGCTCCCTGCCACTGCCTATGGGAAAGTGTAGAGGCTAAGCCAAGGACTTGGGCCCCTGACTCCCATACGAGATCTAGATAGAATTCCAGACTCCTGGCTTTGGCTAGGGCCTGAAAACAATTCAATTGGAATATTGTCACAGAATAATTATGCAGTTTAGCACAAAAAAAAAAGAAAGAAAAGAAAAGCTGAGAACTAAGAACATTTACATTTTTGAACTATATATCAAAATCATAGTTAGTATACAAAACTATCTTATTACACAAATATTACATTAAGCTTGCAAAAAATAATGCTAGCTTCTGCATTTTGCAGGAAAATAGTATGATGTCTTACCCACAGTGGCAAATCTTCCTTCATTAGTGGCAAAAGAGTTTTCATTAGAGGACAAAATGTATCTTGGGTGTATGTTTTTAAAGGAAAGAAAATACAGGATTTTATTAAACATGTCAAAATCTGGAACTGTAAATGAAATGCAAACAACAATTACCTAGAATGTAATACAAACTTTTTACATATTAATATGCCAGTTATCAAGCAAATATGTTACGGTATTTCTCCACCATGCTGTGAAGCATTAGTGATTAAAACAAAATTGAAGATAGCCCAAGAAAGAAACTTCCATATGTTGCTTTTCAGTGTTTGCTAAAGCACAGAATTTACTTATTTGACCTTTTACTAACAATTCAGACTCTTATGCTTATCAGAATCATGCATAAGTTTTTTTTTAATGTGAAGATGAAATATTTGAATCAAAACAGTCTTGGCTTACTATACTATTTACCCCCAGAGGCTTGTCTTTACTCAGGCAGTAAAAGTCTCACTTATGTAATGAGGAAATCTTCCTGGGAATATAAACCATCTCTTATGGAATTAGCTGGTGAAGGTTAGGGGGAAGAATATAGGATAACATTGTTAAAGAGTGAAAATTGACATTTGTTTGGATGACTTTTTACTGTGAGAGATATTGGTTATTTAGACCCATAGGGACATTGAATAAACAGTTTAGTTACTCCCTGGATAGATGCTAGAAAGATGATCCGTTTGCATTTTTCTTTTTTGTTCTCCCAAATGTCTGGAAAACTGTCAGTTTGCCGGAGCCAGTTTATCAGTGTAAGGATAAGGAAAAGATAAGTTAGTACCATCCCACATACCTAGAAGTAGCTCCTGTATTTATGTGTGCGCTGTTTGTTGCACATGTCTAATGTTAAATTGATTTGAAACATTTTTTCGTAAACTGAAATGGGTTGAAAAAATGCAGAATGTATTTGGAAATGATGTTTTCTGTCTGGATGAATGAAGGACAACCTGGTATGAATGTATTGACATGAATTCTTCTCAGGTATTTTCTTTTTTTCCTATAACTGTTGCTCTTCTGGCTCAGGTGTTGACCCATGATTTAAGGGAACACTAGCTGCCATATTGTAAGTGTTAGAATTGATATCTCTTCTAGGGTCATGCCCAAAAATAATTTTTGTTATTGTTTTGTTAAATGCTAGCAGTGTTCCTTTCTCTTTTTCAGATTTATATTACTGATTTTTGGCTCATTAAAATTTAGGTTTATTAGCACAATAAACCATAATTTCGTTTTATAGCTACTACTTAAGACCTTATACAAACATGTTTTTTGGGGGTTTGTTTTTCTCCCGCTTTTAAGTAGATGAAACCTTATATGTTCCTTCTTATTGACTTCAGGAAAAACTATCAACAGTGTTGGTAGGGAAAATATCTGATAAATTCAACAGAAAAAATCTGAAAAGGCAGATTTTTTTTTAAAGTTAAACAATATTTCAGCAATGAAAATCTGTGTGTAACCATTGCTAGATGGATCACTTCACTGTTGAAAATTTAGAAAATCACAGCTCATTCATTCACTGAGAGACACTGAATGTTATGGGTCTCTGAAGTAATTCACTGTGTGTTGTACTGTATGCAGCAATTGGATGGGACTCTTAGAAATGTCAGATTTTAAAGGGTGGAATTTTGTTTTAACTTTATATTGTTTCTCCCTGTAATTTAAATTTTGTGGAAAAGGAAAAAAAAATTTATAACGAAATGGGAGTTGAAATATGGACATTAAAAATTGTAAGAATGTATCATTGTATACATTAGTTCCCTTTGTAGGATAATCTTACATGTGTGTTGGGCACCAATCCCTTGGTTAGTTTTCATGTATAAACCCTCAGCTGAGCAGTATGGCAAAGGGAGGACCATGAAGACCAGCAAACACCCAGCAAAATGAAAGGCCAATTCTGATTGTCGAGGGAAGGAGAGAGAAGTAAACTCTGCAAAAGGAAAATTAAGTGCGAATTAATTTTGTTTTAGAGATAGGCTTACTCTCCCACCCAGGAGAGTAAGGGTCCAGATCCTCCGGAATGTCTGCCTCATTGTGGTTGGTTGTTGATGAGTGCTCGCTAAGGACCAGGGAAAATCACATTGCCCCAGGTCCTTTCTGTTATCTGATTCTGTGAATTCCACAGAACTCCCTGTCAGACCCTGGCTGTGCTTATGTAAATGCATACCCACAGTTAACCTGAAGGAGCAAGTTGAACCAAAATACTCAGAGCTGACTGGAGCGAGCCTTGGGCAGTGCTAAGTACTGTGCTTTTCCTACAGGATGGCAGCTAGATGTACCAAAATTTTATGGCTAGTGTTTTTTTTTTTCTATTAATCTGCTAAATGAAGATGGTGGACATCTTATCTTTTTTTTTAATTTTTAAAATTTTTATTGACAATCTTTACATAGTTAATTAGGGTAAAAAGGTTCAAGGGCTACAGGAAAGTGGGTAAGACTTATTTTTTCCATATAGTTTCCTTCATGTTTAAAGGAGGGGTATTAAGGGAGAAGGCCCACCCAATTTCCCACCCTCCCCAGGTCCCAGATGTAGGGTATGCTCTGAGGTTCTTGCTCAGGTGGTTTTGATATTTCAACAGTTATGAATCGCTGCCAATCTTGACACTCCAAGCACTGTGAGGTCTTTGAAGAATCCACTGGTTGACATAGTCCATCATAGAGTCTCTGTTTGACCCGTATTTCGCTGCCAAGATATAGCTGAGATGGTTGGTTGATCTGTTCTGTCTTCTCTCTTTTCTTAGTTAGGGTTCTGAGTCCAGCATTTTGATTGGGGAGATCTCCAATGAAACTTTGTCTGAGGTGTTCTCAAACCAGATTCTTGTATGTGCTAGCAAGTACAGGGCCTGGCACTGTCCATCGCCCCTATCAGCTGGTGGTTGCAGTAGCTGGGTTGGTTGTTTTCACTCTCAACTTCCATTGGAACCAATGGGTGTTGCAGTCCAGCCTGGTTCTGACCAGCACATACTCGGCCCTCGCATAAACCAGTGGGAGCTGCAGCCTAGTTGGAGCGACTCGCAATAACTCCCACCAGGCCCACCCTCTACCCTGGTTTGCCAGTAAGTGTAGCAGTAATCCAGTCTGTCCCACACCCCTTTCCACCCCAGCGGCTGTCCTAGTTTTATGCTTATCCCGTGGAAGTGGTAACCCAAGGGGAGGAGCCCGGGAGGGGAGGGGGGAATCCCAGCACTTATAAAACTGTGTCACATAATGCAATGCAATAAAAAAAAATTAAAAGAAAAAGAAAAAGAAAAAGAGGGAGGAGCCCACTATTTCCCTCCCAGGTCGCTCCCACTCCCAGATTATCTACTCTCCAGATAGCCTGTGGTTTGACTTGACAGAACTAGCTCCCAGTGCCAGCTTCTTGCAGCTGATGCTATGGCTAAGGCCAAACAACCCTCACCCACTCTAATTTTGTTTGTACCAGTAGGAATAATCAGCCCAGCCTGGCTTTTCCCTGATCTAGTCCACCTGAGGCTCACAGGTGTTGTAGCCCTGCCTAGTCTGGTCTGCCTACATCCCAGCTCACGCTCTCCAGTGGGAGTAGCTGTCCAGCAAAGGAACCACCCCTTACTCCCCTGCCGGCTCTGCCCCCTTGTTCTCATGCTTGCTGGTTGGGCACTGTGGTCATTTCCAGTACAGGCAACCTCACCTTGGCATTCTGTAATGTGCACTGGTTTTTGTCACGACCAAACCAGGTTTAACCCACACTGTTCTGGTGCTTGGATTTACCAGTAGATGAGGTGGACAGATTCAGCCTGATCTTCCCCCGACCCCTGCCAATTGTATGTCAGTGGGTAACTTTCCTTGGCCTGTTCTGGGGTGTTTCCTATCATGCTTCTTGCCCTTACCTGCCGGGTCTGTGTCCTGCCAGAGGAGTTGCCCAGGATCCTCCTCAGAATCCCTCCCAATGCCAGATTTTGCACATATCCATGGGTCCATGAGCCAGCCCTACTCAGTTCACCTTCTGTCTTAGCAGGAACAGTGGCTTTCTTTTCCTGACCAGCCTTCGACCCAAGCTGGTTCTTTGTTGTTGGATGTTTCAGCCCAGCCATGGCTCGTTCTATACCCACATATGACTCACACATGGCTCAGTAGGGGGTTGAGACCTTGCCTAGTCCATTGCACATCTTTCCCGTTCCTCCAGGACACCAAAGGGTGTTGGGGTCTGGCCCAGCTCAGTGCATCCGATCCCAGTCCACA